CTCCAATACCCTCGTCTTCGAGCTCTAGTATTAACATCGGATCATATTCTCAATCAAACATTGCATCCCATTATATGGATGGACCAGAATTTGCACACAACGGTATGTCTTATGTTTTGATTATACTCTACGATACTATTTCCATAAGCATAACGAATCATAATTGATGTTAGAGTTACTGACTTTATAATTAATTTAAATTATATAATAAATCTCAGTAATGATCATATATTATAAAAATATAGTTTGTTATTTTTATATGACATTTCTAAATTAAATTAAATTTGCCTTATTATCAGAATCTGGTTGGACTCGGAATAGTCACCAGAACTTTGGGCCTTCAGTTCAGCCATCATTTATAGCATCACATCAGATGACATCTCATCCCAATTACACGAACGATCATTTTAGTCAACCGATGCTTAATATATTGAATACAAATAATAGTGCCGGACATCCAACTAATGCATCCAACAATGAATTACAATACAGCGGTCACAACACCGGCGATGGCATAGCGCCCACTCATTGGTCATCGGCATCGTTGAGTTGTGCCCGAAATATAGCCGACTCTACTTCTTGGCCTCACACTCACTCCGCTTTCGTCACATCTAACGCCGGCTATCAAACCAATTCATATTTCATGTGAGAATTAGTATATTATTAATAATTATGTGTATATTTTATATTCTAGTTTAAATTATAAATATTTATTTTTACTTACGAAACCATAACCTGTATGTGGTATACGAATAATATCCTACTTATAAAATATGCATTACAGACATACAGTAATAACCTTTGGGGAAATAAATAAATAGTAATAGTTAGTATAAATATAAACTCAATCTGAAATTCTTACTGATTTTATATGCATTTTTCTTAATTATATTTTAGTATTGAATGCATTTTTATTATAGTTATCCGCCGATTAATTAATCAATTATACATGTATTCATTTGATACAATATATCAGTTTTACAAAGCTTGTTAAAATACTCTATTAAATGATAGTTTTTCTAAATTGATTATTTTTATTATACAATTGGTTTTATTTTTGTAAATATTAATAAATATGAATACATGTAACTTTTAAAACTTTACATTTTCATACTATTCAGCAGTAATTTTGATATATAAAAGTATACTTACAATATTATCATTATACACAATTTTATTTATTTATCTGACACTATAATTTTTTAATGTAATATAATTTTTTTTTGTAAATTTTTATAATGATTCTTTGAGTCAATTATTTTTATGACTGATATTATAATTTTTTGTATTAATGATTATAATAAACATTTGACAAAATATACTAAATACAATTTGAAGAATATTTTGATTTGAGTGCTCTATTATGTTAAAAACTATTTTGATTATAATTTGTGTCCGGGTTAATTTAATTGCATAATATGCGAATATATGTATGTTTTTGTACATATATTGATGTCTTCTAAAGTATGAATCCGTTTCGGTGACAGTTTTGGTTTAAATAATGTGTTGGGACAACAAATAAGTTGGTGATTTTTATAACAAATTCATTGGTTTTACCACTATAAATTGAATTAAATGTTTTATATTTGTTTTCAATTCTTTCATTAACTTAATAATGAAATGTTAATAATTTTTCAAAATAAAAATTTAAAACATATATGAGATTAAAATAAAACATTATTTTTATTTACGATATTTAAGCTCTGATCAGATTTAAAATATTATTTTATATAATTCTCTATATTATATATTAATACATAAAAATTTTTAATTTATGAACAATTTATTAAATAACACATTAATTATAGATTTGATGAATAAATAATTGAACGGTTTTGTATTGAATGAAACAACAATTGAGGCGATTTTAAATATAAAAATTAATTAATTAATTAAATTCGTAAAATCAAGAAACAATTGAATGAATAGATGAACACAAAACCAGTCCTTAGTCACAAACAATCGGATGTTTGCCATAAATTCGCAAAGTTATGAATACATATCATATAAAATGCAAGTTTTTAATACTTTTCTCTTTCACCACAACTTTTTGATCACTTATTAAAATTTAAAAAGTATTTCCAAACACTGTATCAAACGTACAAATTTTCTGGCAATAATATATAATAATATTCTGTCACTGAATACAAAATACATGACAATTGATTGAAACGTTTTGGTTGAATAAATGAATGACTTGATAACCGAAATAAAGGCGGACCGAGTGTTTGCCTTGAATCAAGTTATACAATATGTGTTCACCAAACGACACACTTCTTCTCTGGATTCATACGAGTATTAGGACTACATTTGAATTGTTGTGCGAATTCATATGAGTTGGAAAGGGTTCCGATGACTCTGAACTGTGCCGGACTGTGCGGATCATTCATGATCTGAAGTTTCAGGGCCTCCGGTGTACTCGTAGAGCACCAGACCTGCGAGAAACCCACGAAGAATAGCTGCAAATTAGTCAGATTCACGCCCGGAAGTGGCAGTTCTGTGGGATGTTTGCTCAGCCAAGACTTGTACGCCTAAAACAATTCGCTCTTTAAGTCAAACAAATATCAGTATTTATAGCATTTGTTTACATTATAAGCCGCTGTAAGGCCTCCGTTATCGGCGACGTTCTCTCCAATTGTTTGCTTCCCATTCACCTAATATTCAAATCAAACATTCATGTCATTAATACATGGCTTTTAAATGGCAAATGTGTGTCAGTGTATGGCATACGTGATCGCTTCCAACGTTGTATTTAGTGTATTGATCGACAAAACACTTCATCCTCTCTTCAAACTTTCTAATCGTGCTATTCTTCCACCACTGGTGAAGATTTCCACTTTTGTCGTATTCTCTACCCTGATCTTAATTGTCATATAAAATATTGTCTATAAGTTATTAAATAATCATTGGACTGTCTTTACCATCGAATGCATGACTTAATTCGTGTCCCATAACAACACCCATCGCTCCGAAATTGAGTGATTTCGGGTAATTCACGTCATAGAAGGGCGCCTATAAATAACATTGTTTATTATAATGCATATTATTTACAAATATGATAACTATTTGCTCATTAGATGCGGCCAAAAATTCAAGAAATAAAAAACGGACAAGATTATTAATAATACAATTTAAAGAGCATAAATATTTTTGATTGTATAAATTTTTGTGACCACATCTGAGAATAGTATTACCTGGAGTATTCCAGCTGGAAATACTGTACATTGAAATAAAATATTAAACAATTAAAAAATATCAAATAATTTATTTAGTGATTTAATGCAATTAACCTATTTGATTTTTGGTTGGTGTGTAATATGCATTAACAGTGGGCGGAGACATTTCCCATTCAGACTTATTTGCCTATAAAATAGCATTTATGATAGATTTGTTGTCATAAAACCGTAATCATTATGAAATATATTACCATTTTATCGATTTTCTGGATATTTCTTCTTAAAGCAAATCTATTTACTTCTATATTATTCGTGAAATAATCATTTTCTTCCAGAATTAGCTAAATGTATGAATAAATACTTAAAATATAGTTTGTGTTACAATGAGGTAAAAGTTATATGACATACGCCTTCATATTTTTGATTCAATTTTGTTGAATCGAGAATAAAGTCAGGAAAACCTATCATATCAGTGATAGCGTCGGCCTGTAATCAATCAATTAATTTAATTGAATAAAAGTAGCATATTTATTTATTTATATAAAACTAATCACTTTTTCTTTAGCTAATTGTCTGGTGTGTTCGTCCATCCATTTAAGATTTGGTAAATTGCTTTTGAAGGCATCCCTCACTTCTTCAATCATGGTTTGTGCCATAAGTTTGGAGTCTCCGTGAAAGACTGCCTTCACAAACATAGCCCCCAAAGCAAAGCCCATCACACCATTGGTGTCGGTGACGCAATACCTCCATGGTGATTCCGTCCCCTCCGATCCCATTAAAGCCTTTCGCAGTATTTTTGAAGCCTCTCTGAAGGGCTTTGCTAAGCATGAAGTCATTGTCTGCACAACAGACCAGCCCAAGTAATTGGCCACAACTCTGTAATCAAACCATTTGCTATTTTTATCCGTTCATACTTTAAACATAACTTTATATTGTATTTATGATTACATTTTCTTCTGTTCGTCTCGTAAGTGCTCTTCTATGAGATCCGATAAATTAGACATATATTGTGGCGAATAAATGACTATTTGCTCGTTTTCCGTAATCTCTCGACCGATTGGCCCGAAAGCGCGTCTATAATACGAAACCCAATCGATTGCTTTGCATTTCATTTTCAGTTCTTTTAAAGTAATTTTATGATAAGTGCTTTCGTCGTCTCTTCTCTGATCCGCAGGAATTGTTATCTTTATTTTGAAAAATAATAATTTATCATTAAATATATGAATGGCTTTGTATGACTAGTGTCCCGTTATTTGTTTGAATATATAAAACAGCGCTGTGCTCTACACTCGTGTAAATATAGTATTATTCGTTGTGAATTTACAAGAATGTACAGCACTGGCATGAAATCAATTTGGATAATGGACAAATATGATTTTGTTAGTATAACCATATTTTAAGAAGCAAAATATTTTTATATTTGCCACAAAATTGAGACAAAAATATTAAAAACATATTTGTGACACAATGTATGACATATTGTATACCTGAGCCAATCTCTTCTCAAACTCCAAAACGTTTTTCATTTGATCTCTGGTTGAGTTCTCTTCTCCGCCGAGAAGACTTCTCGGCGGAGAAGAGAACTCAACCAGAGATCAAATGAAAAACGTTTTGGAGTTTGAGAAGAGATTGGCTCAGGTATACAATATGTCATACATTGTGTCACAAATATGTTTTTAATATTTTTGTCCATTATTCAAATTGATTTCATGCCAGTGCTGTACATTTTTGTAAATTTACAATGAATAATAATATTATATTTACACGAGTGTACAGCACAGCGTTGTTTTATATATTTAAACAAATAGTCACACATGACCATTTCATATATTCATATATTTAATAATAAATTATTTTTCAAAATAAAGATAACAATTCCTGCGGATCAGAGAAGAGACGATGAAAGCACTTATCATAAAATGACTTTAAAAGAACTGAAAATGAAATGCAAAGCAATCGATTGGGTTTCGTATTATAGACGCGCTTTCGGGCAAATCGGTCGAGAGATTACGGAAAACGAGCAAATAGTCATTTACTCTCCACAATATATGTCTAATTTATCGGATCTCATAGAAGAGCACTTACGAGACGAACAGAAGAAAATGTAATCATAAATACAATATAAAGTTTTGTGTAAAGTATGAACGGATAAAAATAGCAAATGGTATGATTACAGAGTTGTGGCCAATTACTTGGGCTGGTCTGTTGTGCAGACAATGACTTCATGCTTAGCAAAGCCGTTCAGAGAGGCTTCAAAAATACTGCGAAAGGCTTTAATGGGATCGGAGGGGACGGAATCACCATGGAGGTATTGCGTCACCGACACCAATGGTGTGATGGGCTTTGCTTTGGGGGCTATGTTTGTGAAGGCAGTCTTTCACGGAGACTCCAAACTCATGGCACAAACCATGATTGAAGAAGTGAGGGATGCCTTCAAAAACAATTTACCAAATCTTAAATGGATGGACGAACACACCAGACAATTAGCTAAAGAAAAAGTGACTAGTTTTATATAAATAAATCAATATGCTAATTTTATTCAATTCAATTAAATTAATTGCTTGATTACAGGCCGACGCTATCACTGATATGATAGGTTTTCCTGACTTTATTCTCGACTCAACAAAATTGAATCAAAAATATGAAGGCGTATGTCTTATATAACTTTTACCTCATTGTAACACAAACTATATTTTAAGTATTTATTCATACATTTAGCTCATTCTGGAAGAAAATGATTATTTCACGAATAATATAGAAGTAAATAGATTTGCTTTAAGAAGAAATATCCAGAAAATCGATAAAATGGTAATATATTTCATAATAATTATGGTTTTATGACAATAATCTATCATAAATGCTATTTTATAGGCAAATAAGTCTGAATGGGAAATGTCTCCGCCCACTGTTAATGCATATTACACACCAACCAAAAATCAAATAGGTTAATTGCATTAAATCACTAAATATATTATTTGATATTTTTTAATTGTTTAATATTTTATTTCAATGTACAGTATTTCCAGCTGGAATACTCCAGGTAATGCTATTCCCAGATGTGGTCACAAAACTTTTATATAATCAAAAATATTTATGTTTTTAAAATTGTATTATCAATAATTTTGTCCGTTTTTTATTTCTTGAATTTATGGCCGCATCTAATGAGCAAATAGTTATCATATTTGTGAATAAAATGCATTATAATAAACAATGTTATTTATAGGCGCCCTTCTATGACGTGAATTACCCGAAATCACTCAATTTCGGAGCGATGGGTGTTGTTATGGGACACGAATTAAGTCATGCATTCGATGGTAAAG